TTAATCATATGTACATTCTAACAGTGAAAGACAGAATCCCAAAGAAAATTCCAGAAAATCACATAATATGAATTAATAAAAATTAATAACCATCTGATGAGCAAAAATAAGCATTCTTTGTAAGTGGGCAAACCTGCAAAATCAGCAAGGGCTCAAATACTTATTTCCCCCACTGTAGGTCTGATCTTTGTTTAGAATAGTATCGTTCCACTATCATGTCAGTAAATCTGCGAGCTGAATGCCACATAAAACTACCATAAATTAGCTTATAGTGAGAAAATCGTATTTAAATAAGGGCCACTTATTCCTGTTTTTTCAGGCAAATTACTGAAAACTTCAGCAGAACTGTTTTAAACTGTCAAATCAGAGTTTGGGACAGTCAGTTTTTACTAATTCCCACAGATGGCCCCACCCTGGTGGACTGGACAGCCCATAGACATATTTACGTTGAGCCTGTTTATCCGTTGCAGCGATACGTCAACGAGTCCGCCATCTTGGATGTGGCAGAACTGCCCGTAAACTAACAAAATAAAACGGACTGAACTCCATAAAGCGCCTTTCTACAAAGTGCTTTAAGTTAATGCACCTTATTCACCCATTCACACACACACTAATAGATCTGGGAAACAAATAAGCACAAAAAAATGGGCCAGTTATTCCTGTTTTTTCAGGCAAATTACTGAAAACTTCAGCAGAACTTTTTAAAACTGTCAAATCAGAGTTTGGGACAGTCGGTTTATGCTAATTCCCACAGATGGCCCCACCCCGGGGGACCGGACAGACCATAGACATACAGTATATGATGAAAAATGAAAAATACATCTCCAAACTGATGATAAAGTAAACGAGAGGGACAACAGGGACGACATCAAAAGTGTTGAGTATTTATTTACTGCTTACATTTAAAACATTTCAAATTGTTGGCAAAAAATAAGTTATTAGATGGGGGGTTTTTTTTCCACTAACCCATAGTTTAAAAACAGGATAAGTAAGACACGTCTGGACAAAAAGATCCTGTGATGGTTGGACATCTTTCCTGAAGGCTTTCGGGGTTCTGTGGCCGGTCTGGAGTCAGGAGTGGAACTGGGACAGAAGGGTGTCCATTCGCTTGGAGATTTCCTCTAGCTGATTGGCTGTGGGGGGGAGGACAGGTGTG